TTAATAGTGAGATAGCTGAGGGCCAGGAAGTTGACTTCTTCAAGATCACATAGTAAACATTGGAAGTGGAATTTTAATACAGAGTTCTAAGCCTTTTTCCCCAATAGCACACTGCCTTTGTGGTAGCAGGTGCTTGCTTCTTGAACCCTAGAAATTTTATCCTGGTGTAGAAATTAAGTTGTGTGTGAATGTTAGAACACCTGGCTCATGTCTGAGGCCTTCATTAGCTCTGACAGCAAGGATGCATCAGAATTACTAGGTAGGGTCAGTAGAAGGAGCTCCTCTTGTAAAAGCTGTAGGTATACATGAAGACTCAGACAGGGCTCTGATTATTAAACATTGTCCAATGCTCACATGTCAGGGCTGTGTTTGGGTGACTTCATTCATGAACTTGAAGGAACCCTGCTTCATAGAAGGTGTGACAAAGAGTAAATGAACACTTTTAGTGGGTGCTGGCTTCTTTGAAGTAGACCTCTTGCGTGACCAATCCATTTTTCTATGACACCATCACTACCCAAAATGTTTGTAAAAAATACTTTCAGAATTACCAAGACCCATTGCTGCTGTGTCTATCCTGACTCATAGCAATTCTACAGAACTGCCCTGTAGGGTAAAGGCTGTAAACCTTTACCAATCAAATTATTCCTTAGAGGCAAAAATGGCGAATCTTTGCCTCATATTGCTTTTGGCCTTGTTAGGAAGATCCAGTCTTTGGAACAAGACGTCATGCTGAGAAAGGTTGAGGTTTAGAGGAAGAGAGGAAGAGCTTCAAGGAGCTAGACTGGCCCAGTGGCTGGAACAGTAGGCTTGAGCCTGCTCAATGGAGATTGTGGGCATGGCGCAGGATAGAGCAAGGCTTTACTCTTGTTTATAGGATTGCTGTGAGTCAGTCTACTTGATTAGACCTAACAGCAAACCTTTACAGAAGCAAACTGCCACATCTTTCTCCTGTGGAGGGGAGTCCGGCACAAACACTGCTCCCCCCTCCTCCCACACCCCTGCTGCTTTTCACAAATATGGTCTGTGAACATCATTGTTGGTGATATGCTTTTTGTTACTAAAGAAAAGTTTGGGTTTTTTTTTCTTTTTCTATTATTTGCTGTACAGAGGTAACTCTGGTTATTGTGATGCTAAACACTGTGACACTGATGTGTCAAATGAGATAATGGTTACCCATGGGGGACAGTGTTTGGTGGAGCTCCCTGATTAAAACAAGCGTGGAAGCAGGAGTGGCATCTGCTTCTAAAATAGCTTGCCTCTGGAAACCCTGTGAACTTGGAGAAACGAGGAAAGTTATACAACAACAACCATCACCACCTATTTGCATGGTAGAGAGGTCACTTAGTTCGCCACTGAAACCCTTGCTACTCCAAGGCTGGTGATGAATGGAATCTCCATCTGGAGAAGGAAGCTCTTTTGTCCCAGGGAGAGGCAGCTTTTTCTTAGAAATCTCTCTTCACTTTGCTTTGTCTGAGGCTGGGATGTGAGAGTTGTAGAATGCCTTTTAGTTCCCCCACCTAGACATAAGTGGGCAGAAACCCCTGTGTTATGAGGCCAGTCTGGACCATTCAAGAGAAGCTTAAACAAGTTCAAGTAGGGGAAAGAAAGGCACCACATGGAGAAGGATGCCAGTGAAGTTGAGACAAGAATCTTCTTACAGAGTTGATGGAGAATCTTCTATAGCTAGTTCCCTGAATTTGGAGTGCTAAAGAGCAACAAAGTCAGTCTAGAGACTAAGGTGTGCCTGATCCAGACCATGACCTTTGTAATTGCTTGTTATGCATCTGAGAGCTGGGCAATTAATAGGAATGACAGAAGAAGAATTTGAATTCATTTGTGGTGGTGCTGTAGAAGAGTATTGAATATACCATGGATTGCCAAGAGAATAAACAGGTCTGACCTGGAGAGGGTGAAACCAGTTTGCTCCTTGGAGGCAAGGACTTTGAAGCTCTGTCTCACATACTTTGGGTATGTTGCTAGGAGGGGCCAGTCCTTGGAGAAGGACATCATGATTGAAAGGGTAGAGGGTCAGTGCAGGAGAGGAAGACCCTGTGTGATATGCATTAATAGTGACTGTGGCAATCGGGTAAAATGTCAGAGATGATGAGGTTGACTAAAGATAGGGCAGGGTTCAGAGCCGTTGTTCATAGGGTTACTCTGGGTCTTTGACATATAACAATAACCACAATAACAGATTGTGAGAAAGGGAGCTCTGGCAGCTTAATAGTGAGACTCTGCATTGCCAACTAAAAGGCAAACTGTTTGAATCCACAGCTACATTATGAAAGAGAGATGAGCAATCTCCCCTCTTATGAGATTTATTGCCTCTGAAACCGTACTGGAAGGTCAGCTATGGGGTGAGTTCCAACTCAATAGTATATAACAACAACAACAAACTGTAAGAAAGGACATTTGTATTTGTTAAAGTGACTCACTTGTGGTATTTCTGTTGCAGCTGCACTAAGGAGCTGCCCCCCCCGCCCCCACTGTCTTCCCCTTGAGCTCTGGGCCTGGCACCATCTTTCACCACACAGGGATGTCTATCCTGCATGAAACCCAGACTCCAGAATATAGGGAAGGGGAATGTAAGCTGGATGGATGGACTCAGACTGCTTACTTAAATGGCAGAAGAAATGATCTGAGTTCTGACTGGGTTCCTGTGAGGTAGACAACTTGATCTAGGACTGAGAGAGACGCCCAGAGACCCTGAGTGAGGATCAGAGGGGCACTTTGCAGCCTCCCTCAGTGAGCAGGCTGACTGCACTCCTAGAAAACCCACACACAAATTCCTCAGCACAAACGTGAGTCAGTAAATATAATGCTGGAGATTTAAGAGAACAATTACTTTTCCTCTAGATGAGTGGGAAATAAGAATTTTGCCACCGGAGAAGAAAATGGGTGGAAGCTGGTTGACTTGAAGTCCTAGGAACAAAACTGGCGCCAAATAGCTTTGGCCCTGATTTCCAATCCCTTAAATGTGGCCTGAGGCAAACAAAGGCTAGGATTGGAATAAACATATAACCCCCAAGTGATTGCTTTGAAAGCTAACATTCATTTGGAAATATGAATACTGACTTACTTTAAAAAACCCCCAAATCAGGCTCCTTACATTTCAGTTCCACTATGAATATAATAATGATATTGGCTAGACTTAGTTTAGGACCAAGTTTTTTTATCACATATTAAAGTCTACTTATCTTTCCCAAGACAGGAGGAAGAAGAGAGTCTGGAATTAAAAAAATCAATAGATAACCTTGAGACGTTTTTGCCTGCTTGCACTAGAGAACCCTCAGCATCTAGACTTTCATCTAGCCTTTCATGTTCCACGGCTCTGATTGGAGCACTGAGAGAACGGACAGCAGGAGCCAGGGCTGCCTGCAGGCCCCTCGGGGGTGATCTTCTTCCACTAGAATGAATTTACTGAGCACCCACTACGTGCCGAGGTAATACATTACATATTAGGTGTATGCTATCTCATTAACGTAAACTCCTGCAACGGCCTCAGAGGGGAGATCATTTAGTGAGTCTTAGAGGGAAATTGTTCAAGGTTACAGAACCAGTAAATAGCAGAGTTGGGACTAGAAAGTGGAATTGTCTGGCTCTCAGGCCGTTACTTGGTTCTTTCTACCCTGTTTCCTTTCTGGCAGTTAACATCTATTAAACACTCCCCTAGGGCACAGGTTTGCTCAAGATGAGCGTGTGTGCACATCCACACTGGAGTTTCTATTCATTCTTTCTCTGCTAAGCAGATAAATGCTCCGCTGCTTTTAATGAAAGAGTCTGTTGAAAGTCTGGGGGTCTTGGGGATTTTTTTTTAACAGACATAAATTGTCTTTCAAATCTGAAGGACACCAATATATATCCTATGTGGGAGGAAGAATTCCACCGTTTGTACCTTTCTTCATGCGTGTGTGTTTTTATATGCATCTCTGGGTGGACAGACGCAGCGACTGTAGCAATAGGCTCAAACGTGTCAGAGATTGTGAGGTTGGCACAGGATAGGACTGGGTGAAGATCTATTGGTCATAGGGTCTTTATGGGTCATACTTGAAGGCATCTAACAACAACAACAACAGCAACAACATTAACAACAACAACAACAACAACAACAACAACAACAACAAGGTGACTGTGACCAAATGAGATTGTGTGTGTGTGTGTATCTGTGTATTTTGGAAATTGTATCCTTCCGTGTTTCTCTTCTGGTGAGATGTGTAAAGTTCCTTCTCCTACCTGACAACCAGAAAAAGGGTGTGACCAGTCCTGTTAAGCTCTAATCCTCCAAAGCTGAGCACTAACAGGAAAGGGATTCAGCAACACTGAAAACCAAGAAGAGTTACTGACCTGCTTTTCTCCAGGGTCTGAAATAACCCAGAAGCACAGCAGCGATGACCATCCCACCAAGCAGGCATGGAGATAACCAAGAAATCAGTGAGCTGCTTCTTCTGAGGGTAAGCAAGACCTGAGGACCTGAGGTGGGGAGGGGAGAGGTGACCTTGAGCAGTGAGGAATAAATTAAGAAATATCTGCCACTAAGAGACTCTCAGGGAGATGGATTGGAACAGTGACTGTAACAATGGACTCAAGTATAACAGAGATGGTGAGGCCCAGGATAGGTAGGGTTCAGGTTTGTTGTTCATGGGGTCACTATGAGTCATAGTCTATTCACCAGCACTTAACAACAATAACAACAGCATAGAAGAGCCAGAATGGCAGGCAGTAGGGGGAACAGTGTTGCTGCACAGATGGTGATAGGAATGGTTCAGGATATCAGCATTGATAGATTAAACCTCACCTGACCACAACCTCCCATTCTCCAAGGGCTTCAGCTGACCACAACCTTCCCATTCTCCATGGAGTTCAGTAATCCCCCCTCCCAGGATTCAGTGGACTCCAGGTAAAGGCATTGCTCAGGCATTATGGGAACTATGAAGAAGAGTGAGACCCGACCGCGCCAAGTGGCTGGGCCTCAGAGCCGGGTTGGAAGACAAGAGGTAACATTAAGGCAGTTTCCTCAGCTCACTCATTTCCCTGGAGACATTGTTCACAGCCTCGCAGGAGTAGTTCCCAGCGTCCTGCTCTGACTTCACCAGGAAGAGGATGGAGGCAGCTCCACCCTGTGGGGCTGAGTGGTTCCCCATGATCTCCCCATTGTGGTAGAACAGGTACAGAATGGGAGAGGAGCCATTCTCTGCCTCACAGAGGAGCTCTACCGTGTCCCCCTCAGCAAGGCCAGCAGCTCCCGATTGGAAGGTGATCAACGGACGAGACACAGGCACTGGAGGGCACACGGAAGTGATTAACAGTGGGACACCCAGACTCTCTCTCAGCGAGAGGTTACCATTCCCTCCTCCCCTTGAGTCCTTCTCCCTCTCCCAGGGGTCCTCCCATTGCCTGATTCCCAGATCATTGGGGTGATTCTCCCTCTCCCACTTACCCTGTACCCTGATCTCGAACTGGGCACTCTTTTTCTGGACTCCACCCCCCTCAATGGCTGCTTGGCACCAGTACAGCCCAGAATCTCCCTCCTGGGCTCTTGGGATACAGAATTCTTGGTGGAGGGTCCAGGACTGCAAGGCTTGACCATTCTTGTGAAAGTGGACGAAGAGCCGGGAGGCTGATCTTTGGGGGTGCAGCTTTGTTTCACATCTCAAGGTCACTGGGTTTCCCTCACGGTACACAGGAAAGCTGGCAGCACTCAGCACAGGAGGCGGGAACAGCTCTGTGGAGAGTCAGGCTCCTGGTCGTCCGGATGACAAAGTTCCTGGACACTGAGGGTTGTGCTGTAGCACATCTCAGGTCATAACCCTCCTCCCCCAAAACAAGAGACATTGAACTCCTAGGACCTGACGTTTCATCTTGAGCAAGCAGCTCTGAAAGAACCCCCTCCATCACCTGAACCTGAGCCCCACAGGGACTGTGGAGGGTCAGATCCAGCATAGGCCTTAGAGGTTATGTTGTCACGGGAGAAAGACCCTGGGTCTCCATGGGAGTCAGAGGCAGGGCTGGGTCAGAGATCTTCCCATCCGGGCACTTCCCTACTTTCCTCCCTGTGTCTAGTTATGACCAGTGTGACAGGGGATAACTCTTCAGGACAGCTTCACGGGACACCTCCAGGCCCCTGGATTGGCCTAGCACCAAGGGCAGACAGAGAGAGGGGTCCTGTCCAGAATGCAGCTGACCTTCAGAGCCCCATCCCTGACCAGCATCTTATATCCCTGCCCACAGCTGACTTGCCTTGGACACGAACCGTGATGACCTCTGAGGTTTTTCTGACAACAAGTTCCGGAATATATGTCAGCATCCCACTGCAGTGGTACTGGCCGCTGCTTTTTGCTGCTGCTCTCCCCATGGACAAGGTCTGGTTGTCACCAGAGGAGTTGAGGAAATTTCCATCTCTATAGAATTTCACCTGGGACAGTTTTATGTTTTTACTGTTCATGCTCAGGCATTGCAGAGTCAGGACATCCCCTTCAAACACAGGATCTGGTCGAACTTGGAGCAGCAGCCATACTGTGAAACACAGTGACGGGGTCACTCTTGGCTCTGCAGGTCTTACCCCGTCCACTCTTCTACCTCTAGGTCCCAGTCCAAGGCTCCCTGTTGGACTGGAGGGCTCCTGAATGGCACTATCACAGCTATCACTGGTTGGTGGCCCCAGACCTTGAGGACATCTAGGACCACACAGAGCCTAGCCTTTCCTTCATATCCATTCCTTCATCTCTCCTTGCTCTCATCTTCTTCTTGTCTTCTCCCCTCTTTCCCTTTATCCCCTCCTTTCCTCACATTTCTCTTTAGTCTTCCCTCCCATTCTCCTTGTTTCCTTTAATACTGGACTTTTCTCTAGAATTTTTACTCAGCGTGGCTCCAGTTGGGTTCATTCCATCCATAGCCCTGCTTCATTCCTCTGAACCCAATCCCCACTCCTCTGGCAAGGTTTCTTACATTCTGTCTGCCTCCATTTGCTTTTCCATGCAGGCACTATCTCTGAGTATAACTGCATCCTTACCTGGTGGAGGGGAGTCAGGGCTGGCTGGAGTCGTAGCCTGGGCTTGCTCCCTCTAACCTTTCTTGTCCGTGCTTCCCCAGGTCCCACCTCCCTCTTCATCATTGTTGTTATGTGCTGTCTGGTCGCCTGTGACTCATAGCGACCCTATGTACAACAGCCCTAAACCCTGCTCTATCTCTTGCCAATCTCATTGTCTCTGACACGCCCATCCCCATTATCCCAGTGACGGAATAAATCCGTCTCATCAAGGGTCTTCCCCTCCTGCACTGTTCCTCCACCCTCGCAAGCATGATGTCCTTCTCCAAGGACTGATCCCACCTTTCAACATGTCCAAAGTATGTGAGACGGAGCCTCAGAATCCTTGCCCCCAAGGACCATCCTGGCGTAGCAAAGAGTTTTCCCTTCCACCACAATGACGTCCTTTCACTCCAAAAATGCATCTGTGCCCCAATGTGGATAAAACGAAAGCTCCTGGGGACACAGCACTATCTACATGGCAGACCCAAGCTGAACCTGTCCGAAGACATATCCTTTTGCCAAGCCAGATACTGATATTGAGACTTCACACACCCTCAGAGCCAGGACTGAAAGCATGAGAACAATGATGAATAATAAAAGTCCTCAATTGGCACAAAGAACCTTGGGCACAAAGAGCTCCTCTATGCCAGCATCCCCCTTGTGACCCCATAGTCCTTTTCTGTTCACATCCAGGGATTCAAGGAGATCCACACCCTCCATCCTAGAAGAAATGATGCTCACAGAGGGCCTTTCACATCTGCTCTTTTCAGGAGTGTTAAGTGTTGGGCTGATCTTCTTCCTCTGGCATCATGAGCTCAAGATGTTCATCAATCAGAATTATTTCTTATTTAACAGAAAATTCCTGGGAGGTTGCTGGGATAGAATAAGCTAGAGAGCAGGAATAGCTGAGGAAGAAGATAGCTTTTTCTGTGAGCATAAAAGGGTGGGAACAAAGTCTAAGACTTTGTTGAAGAGAGACTACAGAACTACTAAGAGTCGAAGACTCTTATTTCTTAAAGGAATAAAGTGGAAGCCAATTACCACTTATCTGGAACCCGAGTCATTCTCAGGCTCAAATTAGTGAAATTGCAGATTCTCCTCTTACTGGATATTGAGCAAGATTCCTAAGGTTGGGCCCAATGGGGTGCAGCTCTGTGGATACTGCTGGGAGACCCAGTTGTCCAGTCCTGTCCACATCCATTCACTCTGGCTCAGAAACAAGTTCGGAGATGGAAAAATTATTGACATGACTCACCAGAGTTTCCACCACAAGGAACTGAAAGAAAACAAAGTGATAAAATTATGTAGCAGAAAGAACTTTCTGACACAGAGGCCAGTCACCTCAACAATAGCTTCTTCCACTTATTCTTTTACCTAACTGCCCAACTATTGAGCCATCTGAACAATAACCTTTATGGTGGACCCACTGGCCGGACTTATCTGCCCCATGATAGCTCATATGTCATCTCTTCAGACAGGTCTTATCTGTGATCTTAGTTAGAAGAATTCTCCCTCCTTATTATAAATCCTTATTATGTTATGTCCATAGCACATACTGGCTTTAAAATATTATTTTATTCCTTAAATAGCCTAGTTGCTTATCCCATGCATCCATCAGAAGGTCTGTGAGAGCAAGTTCCTGCGTATTTTATTAAATTCTGTATTTTCTAAGCCTATAATCTATTTTTTGAAATAGTGATCATTGAGCATCTGTTAAACAAATATATGAATACTGTCTTTATATCTAAGCCTGTATCAAGAGGAACAAAAATTGTAGACATAGAACTATACACTTGGGCCTGAGGACTGTATTTTCCAAACCAAAGGCAGGATCTGATTTTTCTGGTCCAATATGTCCATAGAATTCTCAGGAACAAAGTGTGGAAGTGACTAGACTGAGGGCTTAAGGTTTCTCTTGAGGAGTAATCATTAAAGAGATGAGCTGGTGAGAAAATTATGAACAAAGCAAATGTGTCTATACCTTGTATACATTGCATTGGTACTCTTAAATAAATGAATTTGTGAAGAGAATGAGTGGCCCAGGAAAAGAAGTAAAATTAAAGAATAGTGACAGATATAGCTAGACAGTATGGAAAATCCAAGAGATTGTTGTTGTTGTT